TTTGTTTTAATATTTTAAATCACAGTAATATATATACGTGCTTTAAAAAGTCAAATAGTATGAGAAGGCTCATGATGAAAAGCAGTTCCCTCACCTCCCCGACCCTTTCTCTCTCCCCAGTTGCATTTCTCATAGGCTTCATCACAAACTCTTTTAACTGTTTTCTCTATTAACCTCCTTGTCTCTAAATATATACACATACACACACATTACATTCCTTCCAGCTTTATCAACTTTAGGCATTATGAACTGACTTCCTACAATGGAAAAGGAAGGTTTAATGCTCACATCCCTGTGCGCCTCCACCTGCTTCCCTGTGTAGTTGTACCTGGGTTTTAGTCACATCGCTGTCCAGTTTTCACCTTAGTGTGAACAGGTTAATACCATCCACAGTGTACACTATTTAATCACTTACAGAAGGCCTTTCACCGGAGCTGGTACTTTCGTCACTACTGACTTATCTATCACTGACTTCTCCCAGACTCTGATTGTAAAGCCTCCTGGACTGTCCTCAGCACTCAGGCATGCCTCGCCCTGGCCCTACAGGTGTGGCTTCTTCAGACTCAGTGGGTGTGAAACATTTAAGGCCAGCTTCTCAATGACAAAACCCTTGTGGCCAGCTGCCCAAACAGCCTGCTACCTGCCTGTGGCTCTGATCAGTGACACGCGGCCCACCTGGCATGGAAGCAGTACATACTTGAAGCGGACCTTCTCTTCCATGTCCAGGGGCGGGTCCTGCGTGATGAGGCTCACCAGCTCCTCCATGCACTGTTGCCGGCACAGGAAGTCCAGCAGCTTCCGGTTCTGCGCCTTGCACTCCTGCAGGAGGTCATCCTCATCCATCAGCTCCTGCAGCGTCACATTCTCCTTGTCCAGCAGCTTGTCAACGTGCGAGGTGGTATTCAAGTCGAACTTCCAGAACATGGTGATGGCTCACAGAGCTGCAAGAGAGGCAACAAGGTCACGTCTCCCTGCCTCTATGAGCCTGCCCTCAGCAACTCCACACTGAAGTCCAGGAAGCCTAGGCCAGTTCATCCCCAAGACGAGTGCGCTCTCCCACAGGCACCGGACGGAGACAGCCCTGTGCATCCAGGCCGGCTCACAGGCCAGCACCACCTGCTGGCTGCCTCTCTTCAGCAGCTCAGCCCTACAGACACCGCCATCTGCCCAGCTCCCAGGACAACGCCTCCTCTAGTTTGTCACCTGGACTGACGGGCCTCCCTCACTTGACAGCCCCCCCGCGCACTCGCCCGATCCTTGGCTCTGTCCACCGACACAGTCTGACGTCTCCCACATGCAGGTAAACAGGGACACCACTCCACTATAAGAAAGGCAATGCCTGCTAAACTCACAGCCACGGTGTCTGCACCCTCCCGAGCAGACACTGGACACTTTCCCAGATGTCTCCCAGAATGCAGTCTCGACCAGGCAGACTCAAAACATCTCATGTTGCTGGCCTCCACCCCCTGGCCCACCACCACCCTCCCTGCTGGGTGAGTAACACCTAGAGTTGTCCTTATAGCTGCCACCTCCCTCATGTGTATACCCAGTAAGTCGCTAGGTCTTGCCATGGCACCCCAAGAAACCCCTACTAAGCCATATTTCCTCCCCATCTTCGACCACTGACTTTGCCTGGACTCTACAAGGCTGGCCTAGCTCAATGGCTCTTCTATGTCAGTTGTGGGGCAGGACTCACTTGCAACAGTTTCCACTGTTCTGATGCAAAACAAAGCCATAAAGCCCACATCTTTAACAAATTAAATCGTTACTTTGAGATTATGGATCTTTTCAAAGTTAAATGAATCATTATTTATAGAATGATGGCAATAGTAGACAGGATTTATCTTTTCTAATATTCCTACTAAGAAATATTAAACATCATCTACACTATGTAGATTTGATGACTTGAACACTAATGACCAAAGACCAGACGAGCTGTGGAATGACATCAAGGACATCATACGTGAAGAAAGCAAGAGGTCATTAAAAAGACAGGAAAGAAAGAAAAGACCAAAATGAATATCAGAAGAGATTCTGAAACTTGCTCTTGAACGTAAAGTAGCTACAGTAAAAGGAAGAAATGATGAAGTAAAAGAGATGAACAGAAGATTTCAAAGGGCGGCTCGAGAAGACAAAGTCAAGTATTATAATGAAATGTGCAAAGACCTGGAGACAGAAAACCAAAAGGGAAGACCACGCTCGGCATTTCTCAAGCTGAAAGAACTGAAGGAAAAATTCAAGCCTCAAGTTGCAGTACTGAAGTATTCTATGGGGAAAATATTAAACGACGCAAGAAACATCAAAAGAAGATGGAAGGAATACACAGAGTCATTGTACCAGGAAGAACTGGTTGATGTTCAACCATTTCAGTAGGTAGCAAATGATCAACAACCACTGGTACAAAACGAAGACGTCCAAGCTGCACTGAAAGCGCTGGTGAAAAACAAAGCTCCAGGAATCAACAGAATACCAACTGAGATGTTTCAAAAAACACACGCAGCACTAGAGGTGCTCACTCGTCTATGCCAAGAAATTTGAAAGACAGCTACATACCTGGCCAACCGACTGGAAGAGATCCACATTTGTACCCATTCCAAAGAAAAGTGATCCAGTCAAATGCAGAAATTATCGAACAATATCATTAATATCGCACACAACTAAAATTTTGCTGAAGATCATTCAAAAGCAGTTGCAGCAGTACATTGACAGGGGATTGCCAGAAATTCAAGCTGGATTCAGAAGAGGACGTGGAACAAGGGATATCACTGCTGATGCCAGAGGGATCATGGCTGAAAGCAGAGCACACCAGAAAGATGTTTACCTGTGTTTTATTGACTATGCAAAGGCATTCGACTATGTGGATCATAACAAATTATGGATAACACTGCGGAGAACAGGATTTCCAGAACACTTAATTGTGCTCATGAGGAACCTGTACTTAGACCAAGAGGCAGTCATTCAAACAGAACAAGGGGATATCGCATGGTTTAAAGTCAAAAAAGGTGTGCGTCAAGGTTGTATTCTTTCACCATACTTATTTCAATCTGTATGCTGAGCAAATAATCTGAAAAACTGGACTACATGAAGAAGAACAGGGCATCGGGAGTGGAGGAAGACTCATTAACAACCTGCAATATGCAGATGACACAACCTTGCTTGCTGAAAATGAAGAGGACTTGAAGCACTTAGTGACAAAGATCAAAGACTACAGCCTTCAGTATGGATAACACCTCAACATAAAGAAAACAAAAATCCTCACAACTGGACAATAAGCAACATCATGATAAGCACAGAAAAGACTGAAATTGTCAAGGATTTCATTTTACTTGGACCCACAATCAACGTCCATGGAAGCAGCAGTCAAGGAATCAAAAGACACATTGCATTAGGCAAATCTGCTGCAAAAGATCTCTTTAAAGTGTTAAAAACCAAAGATGTTACTTTAAGGACTAAGGTGCGCCTGACCTAAGCCATGGTGTTTTCAAATGCCTCACATGCATATGAAAGCTGGAAGACTGAAGAATTATTGATGTCTCTGAATTGTCGTGTTGGAGAAGAATACTGAATACACTACGGGCTGCCAGAAGAACGGACAAATCTGTCTTGGAAGAAGTACAGCAAGAATGCTCATGAGAAGCAAGGATGGACGTCTCACATAGTTTGGACATGTTATCAGGAGGGACCAATTCCTGGAGAAGGACATCATGCTTCATAAAGCAGAGGGTCAGCAAAAGAGGAAGACCCTCAACAAGATAGGCTGACACACTGGCTGCAAAAATGGGCTCAAGCATGACGACCGTGAGGATGGCGCAGAACCAAGCAGTGTTTTGTTCTGTAGTACACAGGGTCACCGTGAGTTGGAACCAACCTCAAGACACCTAGCAACAACGATGACAACACTACGTAAAACTCTCCTGTTTGTTGATGAAACTCTGCTGCTCTGAGACCCCGACACCGGGCACCACAGCCCGTCTGGCACCCCCAGCCCCACACCTTTACTGTGCCCTCTGTACTGGGTGAACCTCACTTTTCCAAACTTCGGTCATCTTCCTGTCATTCCCATCCCCTCTCTGCTGGCCCGAGGCCCACCATGTCTCCTGGCTGCTTTGTACAAAGTGTCTCTCCAGCCCTGTAGATACCACCCATTCTCTCTCCCTCAATCCTACAGCCACAAAACACAAACACAAGATGCACTTTCACACTTTTATACCTTTGCAAATGCTCTTTCTCATGCTGAGACAAAATCCCACTCACCCTGTCAGACAAAGCTATCATGGCACTCCCTCTGCTGCCCACAGCTCCCCACACCTGTACACATCTCGGTATTGGCATGCACCTCAGCACAGTCACGCACCTCTGCTGCCCTGTTCAGAACTCAGTGTGTTCTCAATGACCCCAGAGCTGGCTGGATGGTCAGTTTCATGGGCAAACTATTAAATGTTTTGCATACAGACTGCTGGAGGAATTTTAAAGATACTCATTTTTTTAACCATAACATTAGCCACTATACTGCTTAAATCTGGGACCAATGTATTTTGACTGCAAGTGCTTAATTTGAATTTCAGTTCTTCTTTGCCCTCTTACAATTCCAAAGGTAATGAGTAACAGCTGAAGTGAATGGTCTCTCTAAACCACCAGCCTCCAAATGACAACAGAACAGCAATCCTCCCTTACAATGCAAGCACACTGGGGGCTGAAAGGAAACCTCAACCGAGAGCGTTTGCAGGCTGTGGAGAGGCTCGAGGCTCTAGGCAGTAGCTAGCAGGAGGTGGGGGAAGTGAGTTCCAGATAGAGGGCTCACAGAGGCCCGAGGCACTTACTATCGGCACAAACTCCTCCCCACCTTCTACAAGCCTCCAGACAAGAGAAGTGGAAAGCTGTCCACCCTGTGGCACACTTGCCCCCACCACAGAGGTGCCTGCCCCCGGCAACCCTGCAACCAGCTGCTGCTCCTGAAGGACTCTTAGCCCTGCCCTCTGAGTATATTTTAACCATATAAAACAGCTGGGAGAAAGCAGGTATGGTAGATTGCAAGGCACAGACTGCACACAGCTCGTGAGCCCCCCAAGTGGGAGGCTCTCTGCAGCCCCAGAATCTGGGCTTGGCAGTGGGTGGCAGCAGCTGTGACCAAACAGATGTCAAACCATCCTTGTACATGGTGGCTGCTCCTTCACTGCTCAGGGAACCCAGGCCACAACCATGAGAATGAGGCTGTGCTAGCCTACCGGACAATGAATGCCCACGGCACAGTACCCAGTACCAGCTGACTGCCAATGTACACGTGAACCCACCAACACCAGCAAAGGAGCCGTCCCAGCTGGGCTAATCACCAGCCCACAGAACTGCGAGCAAATAAATGGTGGCTGATTAAGCCTCTAGGTTTTGGGGTGCTTGCTATGCAGTAAAAGCTAACTGATACAAGAACCTCTGTCTGCGTCAATCCTCGATGATTGGGTTAGGGCCAAAAACGAGCAGAAAAGAACACAAGCAGCATAATGATGACACGGATGACGTACATTTATATTTACATGTCACCTTGCTCACACATTTTATCTTCTCTGAATCTTACTTTCCTCATCCTTTATAGTCTTACTGGTAAAGATTAAACAAGATATCATGTTAAAGCACTCAGCATAATACCAAGTCTGTAACAGTTCAGTAAATGTCAGCAACGCTTCTACTTATGCCAATACCACCGCCTCATCTCTTTCAACTGCCGCCGCCACGCAGCCACAGGCCCAGCACACTGCCCTACCAGGACGCTGTGCTCCTGCCCTGTCTGCTGCCAGGGCTCCCTCACCACTCCCTCCTGCTTCTGTGTCCACCACTAGTTCTACCTCTGCTTCACAGGGACCAGTCCATATAGGGCCGGGGCAAGAACAGACAAATGTAAAGGACAGAATGTTCCAGAGTAAACAGGAGCACACAATATATGACAGTG